GATGAGATAGGATTGTTGTTGTTGTTGTTGTTGTTGTTGTTGTTGTTGTTGTTGTGTGCTTTTGAGTCGTTATAGACTTAGGTTGACCCTGAGTGAGGGCCGGGTAAATCACCTTGGAGGGCCGTATCCGGCCCGCGGGCCATAGTTTGAGGATCCCTGCTGTAAAATATCTTAAGGAAACCTTATCATTGAACAGTTGTGTTGTTAAAGTGTGAAGTATGGAACCTTGCGCAGACTGTCGGTCAATGTGACTTAAGCAATGTATGCGGCAAGTACTGGCTTGTTCAGTAGCCTCGCCTCTACAGTCCCACTTTGGCAGGAAGCCTTAGCATTGAACAGTTGTGTTGTTAAAGTGCAAAGTATGGAACCCTGCGCAGACGGTCGGTCAATGCGACTTAAGCAATGTATGCAGCAAGTACTGGCTTGTTCAGTAGCCTCGCCTCTACAGTCCCACTTTGGCCGGAAGCCTTAGCATTGAACGGTTGTGTTGTTAAAGTGCAAAGTATGGAACCCTGCGCAGACGGTTGGTCAGTGCGACTTAAGCAATGTATGCGGCAAGTACTGGCTTGTTCAGTAGCCTCGCCTCTACAGTCCCACTTTGGCCGCAAGCCTTAGTATTGAACGGTTGTGTTGTTAAAGTGCAAAGTATGGAACCCTGCGCAGACAGCCGGTCAATGCGACTTAAGCAATGTATGCAGCAAGTACTGGCTTGTTCAGTAGCCTCGCCTCTACAGTCCCACTTTGGCCGCAAGCCTTAGCATTGAACGGTTGTGTTGTTAAAGTGCAAAGTATGGAACCCTGCGCAGACGGTCGGTCAGTGCAACTTAAGCAATGTATGTGGCAAGTACTGGCTTGTTCAGTAGCCTCGCCTCTACAGTCCCACTTTGGCCGGAAGCCTTAGCATTGAACGGTTGTGTTGTTAAAGTGCAAAGTATGGAACCCTGCGCAGACAGTACTGGCTTGTTCAGTAGACTCTCCTCTACAGTTCAGTCAAGCAGTAATTCAGCAGTGATCACATTTCAAATATTGGACCATTTCACCCATCATAACATGTTTATTCTGACATTGTTTACCTTTCGGGCTGGCTGAGATCTGTGATTGACGATCCTCTCTCCCAGTTGGAGGCTCTCTTGCCATTCATTTGGAATGCAAAATCTAGAGCTTGTTTCGGGGTGTTTTCAAGTCAAAACCGGTGCCTCTCTTGACCCCGTGTTTACATTTCCTTGGGAAGGGAAGAAGGGGGGGGGGGCGAACCCACCTAAAAGCGATCACGAAGCCTTTCGCAGCAGGCCAATTAATTGGTTTGGACTGCATTTGAATGGCACGCTTGTCAAACAAAGCATTCCCTGACAGTTAATAGTGTCATTTAGAGGCATAAAATTATTGGCTTATTTGTTATTGGGTACAAACAAAAGCAAACACTTTGTATGAGGAAGTTTTTATGTGTTTAAAATTCTCATTAGGGATTTATGGGCATTCTTGCTTCGCGGAGGGCCTCATTAATTTGAGGCTGAACAGTTACTTCTGTGTTGCAGCTCCAGCGGTGTGTGTTTGGCCTCGCTTCTCTGCGCGCCCGCGTCGGTGGTGGCGGAGGGGCCTTTCCATGCGCGGCTCCCTTCCACTCTCGGCTTTTCTTTAATTAGCTCTTGCATCGGAACTCGGGCGGCTCGCTGCTGGAAATGTAGCATTTAATTAATGTGATGTATAAATCAAATGGAAGAGAGTTATTTTTAGGAAATGTGTCTGCCTTCTTTACATTTTAGTGAGCGGTTAAGCCGTGTGCCACGTAAGCAGGCTCCGATATAAGAGCGTTTCCATGTCTCAGGGAAGTCGGGAGACCTCAGTGGGAGAAAATACACTTGGAAACGTCTCTTGGCAGCAATCGTTTGGGGTGATTGAATTAGGAACGTAGCTAGCAACGATCCAGTGGAAATCCAGGCTTCCTTGGCTGCTTAGAGTTAGGTGTTGTAGCAAAAGTAAATTCAACTTATTTTATTTATTTATTTATTTACAGCTTTTCTATTCGGCCCTTCTCCTCACTCCACAGGGGACTCAGGGCGGATTACAGTGTACACATATATGGCACACATTCAATGCCAATTTTTGACATACAAACATATACAGACATAGACAGAGGGAAGATGATACTGAAAGTACAGAAAGCCTTGACAGTGACCTGACCCGGCAAGCTTGTCTTGATTTGTGTGTCAGGTGGAGTTCTCGCCTGGCTGGTAGACGAGAAGCCAGCTCGGGGAAAGGTCATCGCAATGCTTTCATGTTGGTGAGAGCATAATGTTTTCATGTTTATTTATTTATTTATATGATTTATTTACAGCTTTTCTATTCGGCCCTTCTCCTCACCCCGCAGGGGACTCAGGGCGGATTACAGTGTACAAATATATGGCAAACATTCAATGCCAATTTTTGACATACGAATATATACAGAGATACACAGAGGCTGTTTAACTCTTTTCTGACCGCCAGGGGAGCTGTCGCTTTCTTCGTCCATCTGCGACACTGATGAAGCACTTCCGCATTCCCCGCATGCTTCCCTGCTGGAGTCTTCTTTATGGCCTCATAAATTAGTTAATTTAGCCTCCCCACACTTTAAGGTGGTACCTTATTTTCCTACTTGACAGATGCAACTGTCTTTCGGGTTGCAAAGGTCGACAACAGGCTACACACAATTGGTTGGAAACCCACTCCAACCCGGGCTGGCTTTGAACTCATGACCTTTTTGGTCAGAGTGATCTTAATGCAGCTGACACTCAGCCAGCTGCGCCACACCCATAAGTTTGAACCCCAAGAGTCCCCTGACAATAAGAACAAAGTTTATTTATTTATTTATTGGTTTGTTTGTTTGTTTACGGCATATATATTGCACCCTTCTCACCCCGGGCACAACTTACAATATCTACATACATACACACGCGCACACACACACTATATATATATATATATATATATATATATATATATATATATATAAAATATTATTGGGCATAGCACAATACCAGTATATTATTATTATTATTATTATTATTATTATTATTATTATTATTATATATTACTATATTGTACGATACCATTATATTGCAATATTATTAGTAATATTGCATGTAATATATAATATAATATATATAAGTATAATATTCCATTATTATTATTAGTTTTATATTGCATTACATTATAATATTATAAATATGTATATATAATATGCACAGCTTACAATATATATACATACATACATACATACATACACACACAATATATATATTATATTAGCATAGCACAATATTGGTATATTATTATTATTATTATTATTATTATTATTATATATTACTATATTGTACCATACCATTATATTGCAATATTATCAGTAATATTGCATGTAATATATAATATAATATAATATAATATAATATATAGAATATATAATTATAATATTGCATTATTATTATTATTAGTTTTATATTGCATTACATTATAATATTATAAATATATATATATAATATGCACAGCTTACAATATATACATACATGCATACACACACACAATCTATATTATATTATTAGTAAAGCACAATAGTGGTATATTATTATTATTATTATTATTATTATTATTATTATTATATATTACTATATTGTACCATACCATTATATTGCAATATTATTGGTAATATTGCATGTAATATATAATATATAATATAATATATAATATAAAATATATAATAATAATATTGCATTATTAATATTGCATTATTATTATTATTATTATTAGTTTTATATTGCATTACATTATAATATTATAAATATGTATATACAATATATTGTTGCTTTTTTTATACATTGCTTTCCTTTATATATATATATATATATATATATATATATATATATATATTTGTATATATTGCTTTTCCTACACACTATTTTCCTTTTTATATATTTTTCTGAATGCAATTTACTCCGTTAAGGGTATTAGATCATGTCAGTCATGAATCATTACGAGGGTTGAATGAAAAGTAATGCCTCCACGTTTGTAATTCCTCAACAGATGGCAGTACTGGTATGCGGCAGGTACTGGCTTGTTCAGTAGACTCTCCTCTACAGTAAGGTGGGAAGCCTTAGCATTGAACGGTTGTGTTGTTAAAGTGTGAACTATGGAACCCTGCGCCGACGGTCGGTCAATGCGACTTAAGCAATGTGCAGTCATTGAATTCTTGACAGCAGAGGGTGTCACCTTAACATATTTAAACTTATTCGCCCAATGATGCACAGTACTCACATCAATGCAATCACCATAAACAGCGTGCATTCTCTGAGGAATCTCCTTTGGGTGACACTTTCTGTTGTCAAGAATTCAATGACTGCACGTTGCTTAAGATGCATTGACCAACCATCTGCGCAGGGTTCCATACTTCGCAGTTTAACAACACAACCATTCAATGCTAAGGCTTCCCGGCAAAATGGAACTGTAGAGGAGAGTCTACTGAACAAGTCAGTACCAGCCGCATACATTGCTTATGTTGCATTGACCGACCGTCTGCGCAGGGTTCCATACTTTGCACTTTAACAACACAACTGTCCAATGCTAAGGCTTCCCGCCAAAATGGAACTGTAGAGGAGAGTCTACTGAACAAGCCAGTACCTGCTGCATACATTGCTTAAGTCACATTGACCGACTGTCTGTGCAGGGTTCCATACTTCACACTTTAACAACATAACCGTTCAATACAAAGGCTTCCTGCCAAAATGGAAGTGTAGAGGAGAATTTCCTGAGCAAGCCAGTACCTGCTACATGCCAGTACTGCCGTCTGTTGAGGAGTTACGAAGGTGGAGGCATTACTTTTCATTCAACCCTCGGATGTTCCTTTTGTGATGCTAGATGCAGTGCAAGCATTTGATGAAACATGACTTAATTCTACCACCTGCCTTCTACTCCTAATGTAGCTCGTAAAGTGTCTTTGCAGAGTGATGGCATTTCCATTTCCTCCCTTCTAGGTTACCCTTCCCAATGACTCCAACTGTGTGGAGGAGATACTACGGGTAAGTTAATGTCATTTCCAGCTTGGTTTTCCCTTGGCTTGTGTCTGCAGTTGGGAGGTGCCTTCCTCTTAGAGCAGCGTTTCTCAACCTGGGGGTCGGGACCCCTGGAGGGGTCACCAGGGGGTGTAAGAGTGGTTGCCAAAGACCATCAGAAAACACAATATTTATAGTTCAGCTACAATCAAAGAGCATTCTGAAGCCCACCAATGATGGAATTGAACCAAGCTTGGCACACAGTTCTCTCATGACCAACAGAAAATACCGGAAGGGTTTGGTGGGCAGTGTTCTTTGGTTTTGCAGTTGTAGTTGTACATCCAGAGATCACTGTTGTTGCAACTCAGAGTAGGCTTCACCTTGCTTCTAAACACCACCACACAAGAGCTGTAGTTTTACAGTTTATTGAGGAAAAAATCCAAGTCAGAATAAAGAATAAGCATTGCAAAGTCCCAGAGATTAAGGTTAAATGCAGAATATAGTTCCAAAGATCTTCAGGTAAAAGCAGGAGACACAATCCTATTGGCAAAGTTCAAACCAGAGTCCCAGGTACAAGCAATGAAACATTTGCCCTAAGAATCACCATGCAAGAAATCCCAAGCGTACTGCTTTCCAGGCTAATATTATTCCATGAAGCTTTCAGGCTAGTAAGCTACGTTGAACTGACACTTTCACAGAGTTTGCAAGAAGCCTAAATACCTTTCTAACATTAAAACATTAGGCTCTCAGCATCATAAAAGCATTGCGACGACCTTTCACCGAGCTGGCTTCTCGTCTGCCAGCCAGACGCGAACTCCGCCTGACCCAGAGATCAAGGCAAGCTTCCCGGGTCAAGTCACTATCTACACTTTCGGTATCAGCGTGGGAAGGCACCTGCTCGCTATCTCCTTCGTTAAAATTCCTTTTTAGTGAAAACGGCTGTGTTGACGCTGCACTGTCTGTGGGAACCTCAGAAGCAGGCCCAGAGATTTGAGGCACAAACAAAGAGCCAGGAAGCGGAAACACAGCAGGAATCTGAATCCCATCATCCTCATCGTCAGACAGTAGCTCAGCCACAACAACTGTGGACTCAAACAATGATGGATCTGGACCAAACTCTACACGAATATTCAATATGCCCAAATGTGAACACTGGTGAAGTTTGGGAGAAATAGAATCTTGACATTTGGAAGTTGTAGTTGCTGGGATTTGTAGTTCACCTACAATCACAGAGCATTCTGAACCCCACCAAGGATGGAATTGGGCCAAACCTCCCACACAGAACCCCCATGTGGGTCACAGCAACGCGTGACAGGGGACGGCTAGTCTATATAAATAAAAATGTAATGTTCTGGGTTGTTGTATATTTTTTCGGGCTCTATGGCCATGGTCTAGAGGCATTTTCTCCTGGCGTTTCGCCTGCATCTATGGCAAGCATCCTCAGAGGTAGTGAGGTCAGAGGTACTGAGGATGCTTGCCATAGATGCAGGCGAAATGTCAGAAGAAAATGCCTCTAGACCATGGCCATAGAGCCCGAAAAAACCTACAACAACCCAGTGATTCCGGCCATGAACGCCTTCGACAATACAATGGAATGTTCATTTGTGGGATTAACATAACTGGACGAATGGACACCAAATTTGGTCACAAGACACCTCTCAGGCCAATGAGTGACCATCACTCATAAAAATACTGAAAGGGCTTTAAAAGCCTAAAAATAATAAAAAAAACACATGGCAATGCATGCACAAAACCACATATATACACATAAATACACACACAAAACACATATACACACACTGGGCCATAGCAACGCATGGCAGGGGATGGCTAGTGAATAATAAATATGTGCTACAGATCCATTTCCCAGCGCAGGACCTTGGCCTTGTGATGGAAATGGGCAATGGGTTGTTGTAGGTTTTTTGGGGCTATACGGCCATGTTCTAGAGACATTCTCTCCTGACATTTCGCCTGCATCTATGGCAAGCATCCCCAGAGGTAGTGAGGTCTCTTGGAATTAGGAAAATTAGGTCTATATATCTGTGGAATAATGTCCAGGGTGGGACAAAGGGCTCTTGTCTGTTGGAGCTAGGTGTGAATGTTTCAACTGACCACCTTGATTACCATTTGATTGCCTGGCAGTGCCTGGGGCAATCTTTTGTTGAGAGGGGATTAGATGTCCTTGTTTGTTTCCTCTCTGTTGTTGTTCTGTTGCAATTTTAGAGTTTTTTAATACTGGTAGCTAGATTTTGTTCATTTTCATGGTTTCTTCCTTTCTGTTGACATTGTCCCCATGCTTCTTGTGGATTTCAGTGGTTTCTCTGTGTAGCCTGACATGGTGGTTGTGAGAGTGGTCCAGCATTTCTGTGTTCTCACATAAAATGCTGTGTCCAGGCTGGTTCATCGGGTGCTCTGCTATGGCTGACTTCTCTGGTCCATAAACATGTGGACAATTTCAACAGAAAGGAGGAAACCATGAAAATGAACAAAATCTGGCTACCTATATTTAAAAACTGTAAAATTAGAACAGCACAACAACAGAGAGGAAACAAACAAGGACATCTAATCACCTCTCAACAAAAGATTGCCCCAGGCACTGCTAGGCCATCGAATGCTAATCAAGGTGGTCAGTTGAAACATTTACACCTAGCTCCAGCAGACAAGAGTCCTTTGTCATTCCACAGATATATAAACCCTTTTTCCTACTTCCAACAGACCTCACTACCTCTGAGGATGCTTGCCATAGATGCAGGCGAAACGTCAGGAGAGAATGTCTCTAGATCATGACCGTATAGTCCGGAAAAACCTACAACAGCCCAATGATTCCGGCCATGAAAGCCTTCAAGAATACATTGAAATGGGCAATGTTTTGGTTGCATCCTAGTCCCAAAAGCAGACTTGACCTGTCATTCCATGTGGAGGGGCTCAATGCTGGACGACGTCCACTCTGTGGTCAGCAACCCTCCTCCGCTGGGTAAGGCCGATGCCTCCCCCCACGCTGCACAGGTAGCTGGGCAGGCGCGATAGTAATTAAAAGCTCCGTCGCCTTGACCAAAACAACACCCTCCCCATAATTAGAATGAAATGGCTGGAGTTAAATGAACAAAAGTCTATAATTTATTCTCTCCCCTCGTCTTCTGATGACTGGCTTCCGACTAATGACATTGGAGAATATGTAAATTGATCAGCAGGTGAAAATGCCCTTGACTGAATAAATTATATGCGGTATTACCTGGCTCGTACCATTTGGAAAAAAGGCGCTAATCGACTTAATGTGGAGCGGCCCCGGCCCAGGTGACTTGTTCACAAAGCCAAATCAGCCGGATAATAGGTTTAGCCCGTCATCCCTCCTCGCCTCCATGCCGGCCCCATCCGGTTGTCTCCTTTCCTCGTATGTAAAAAAGACTAGCCGTCCCCTGCCATGCATTGCTGTTGCCCAGTCTGTGTGTATGTGCTTTGTGTGTAGGTATCTATGTGTGTTTGCATAACTATATAAATAGAAATGTAATCCTCGTTTGTGGGATTAACAGAGCTCAAAAACCACTGGGCGAATTGACACCAAATTTCGACACAAGACTCTTGTCTGTTGGAGCTAGGTGGGAATGGCTCAACTGACCACCTTGATTAGCATATAATGGCCTGGCAGTGCCTGGATCAATCTTTTGTTGAGAGGTGATTAGATGTCCTTGTTTGTTTCCTCTCTGCTGTTTTGCTGTAGTAATTTTAGGTTTTTTTAAATACTGGGAGCCAGATTTTGTTCATTTTCATGGTTTCTTCCTTTCTGTTGAAGTTGTCCACCTGCTTCTTGTGAATGTTAATGGCTTCTCTGTGAATGAACAAAATCTGGCACTGCCAGGCCATCAAATGCTAATCAAGGTGGTCAGTTGAAACATTCCCACCTAGCTCCAGCAGACAAGAGTCCTTCGTCCCACCCTGGTCATTAGCTTCGCCTCTACAGTCCACTTTCGTGGGAAGCCTTAGCACTGACCGGTTGTGTTGTTAAAGTGCAAAGTATGGAACCCAACGCAGACAGTCGGTCAATGCGACTTAAGTAACGTATGTGGCAGGTACTGGCTTGTTCAGTAGCCTCGCTTCTACAGTCCCACTTTGGCGGGAAGCCTTAGCATTGAATGGTTGTGTTGTTAAAGTGTGAAGTATGGAACCTTGCGCAGACGGTCGGTCAATGCGACTTAAAATCCTATTCCAAGTCTCAGCCCTGGGAATGGCAACGGGATTGTTTCTCTAATCACCTCTCAAAAAAAGATTGCTCCAGGCACTGTTAGGCTATCAAATGCTAATCAAGGTGGTCAGTTGAAACATTCACCCCTAGCTCCAGCAGACAAGAGTCCATTGTCCCACCCTGGTCATTATTCCACAGATATATAAACCCATTTTCCTACTTCCAACAGACCTCACTACCTCTGAGGATGCTTGCCATAGATGCAGGCGAAACGTCAGGAGAAAATGCCTCTAGACCATGGCCATACAGCCCGAAAAAACCTACAACAAGACATTCCCACCTAGCTCCAGCAGACAAGGGTCCTTTGTCCCACCCTGGTCATTATTCCACAGATATATAAACCCTTGCTCCTAGTTCTTACAGACCTCACTACCTCTGAGGATGCTTGCCATAGATGCAGGCGAAACTTCAGGAGAGAATGCCTCTAGAACATGGCCATACAGCCCGAAAAAACCTACAACAAGACATTCCCACCTAGCTCCAGCAGACAAGAGTCCTTTGTCCCACCCTGGTCATTATTCCACAGATATATAAACCCTTGCTCCTAGTTCCTACAGACCTCACTACCTCTGAGGATGCTTGCCATAGATGCAGGCGAAACTTCAGGAGAGAATGCCTCTAGAACATGGCCATACAGCCCGAAAAAACCTACAACAAGACATTCCCACCTAGCTCCAGCAGACAAGGGTCCTTTGTCCCACCCTGGTCATTATTCCACAGATATATAAACCCTTGCTCCTAGTTCCTACAGACCTCACTACCTCTGAGGATGCTTGCCATACATGCA